TTAAATTGGCTGGCATGAGGTTCGAAAGTACTCAAAAACACACATGCGGCAATTGAGACTGCAACTTGCTAAGGTCCGAGCTGCGTCCACTGCTATGTCGGTTGATCCATACCCAGGATGAACACACCGGAGCAGCCCAAAGAAACCTGCACCAAGCAAAGCGCAAAGTCAACAGACGCGTCGTGCGTGCGCAGTCCTGGGTCCGCGTGGGTCAAGGCATAGGATTGCCACCAGTACTAATCTAAGTGCGTTCGCAAGCGAGTGGGCAGAACAAAGAAATCGCCTTCGGATATTGAGGTCGGGACATCAGTCCGCTGGATGACAGTATGTTGTGGCTGTAGTGGCGTTCGATGTCAAAGCTGGCCATGCGAAAATTCTGCCTTATCATCCCAGCCTGCAAAGCAAACGCGTTGAGTTGGGGCCAAACGACGCACGCCCAGCCTTCACCGCCTCTGCCCCGCTGAACATCTCTACCCCATCAAACTTCGGGGTGAGCGGGATCTCGCTATGCCAGATCCTGCACATAAGCTGCCAGAACATGAGAAAGGAACGCGCGTGCCCAACCCAACTAAGACAGAGGCAGCATCAGAACCAGCAGGATGCCCAGCTTCGGAATTCCAGCATCAAGCATCGACGTGATGAGCGCCTCTACGGCCTCGGCCGGCTGCACCATCAGCCTCAATGAAAATTCGCAGCAACAGTTACTGAGCTAGTGGTCACGCGTGAGAGTCGCAACTGCAACTAGATAAGGACCTGACCCCAAAAGCACGCACGCCAAGCCGCACTTCATGAGCTGCAGACTTCCGGTCGCTGTCTTTAGCCGGGTCAGCGCTAAGGCTAGGGCCAGAGCTAGCAAACATATCGCACGAAGCACTGAAACAAAGCATGCTGTCATATGGCAAAAGCACACGCTTCGTGGCAACATGAAAAGCCGCGCCTTCTGCCACACATGTGCTCGAAGTGTCGTCGCTGGTACCTGCAAGCTCGTGAGTGAGTGATGCAAATGTACGTCGCAATTCAACCGGCATTTTCCCCGTAGCGCAAACCAGCTCTTCACTCCGTAGACGCCAGAAAAGCGCTAGCTAGCGTGAGACACTCTGCACTAATCTCATCTGCAGTCTCCGCGTTGATCTTCCAATACGCGTGAGCCCACCAGGCGTACTGCAAGAAAGCAAAGAGCGAGTGCCCGGTTTTCCGTGCAAATTTGCAATCTGTAAGCTAGGCTCCTGATTCCAACAAATGCCCAACAAACTCGTGCATATTATAGACGTTAACCGAAGGAAATGGAGAGGGACACTTAGGCTAAGGGGGGGGGATTCTTAAGGGGATGGCTATGCAATTTTGCAACGCGCAGCAGTCCTGAGAGCGCGCAAATTGCCCTGCTAGCGTCGGCTTGATGATCCTCGCAACGCTGTAGTACTCTGCGAGTTGCAGCAAACCAAATGGTTGAGTATGAGTTAATCCAAGCAACGTGTTCCAAGCGTTCCGGATGCCATCAAACTTGTGACATCCTGGGGGGGTTGCCGGACGGTATCGCCTGGCAAACTGCTCCTTGGCTGGTGGCTTGGCTGGTGGCTTGCCCGGGGCTGGCGCAGGGTTCTGGCTCTTGCTGGCGCTTGGTTCGGTTTCAGTCGCTTTGTCATCATCGCGCGGCTTGCTAGGCGCTGCCTTCGGTTTGCTTTTGGGCTTTTGCTTCTGCTTCGGACTGGCTGCCTTTGTTTTGGGCTTTGCCGAAGCGTGCTGCGCCTTAGTTACAGGCTTCAGGCTGCGCAAGCCAAACACAGGAATGCAACTCACACGTGCTACATGCAAGCAAGTGTACATCAGGGTGCACGAAGTTCCGCTCGCTGCGTAAGACTTCCGCCAACTGTTTGTCACCCTCATCATCTTCGATTTCAAGTGGCTCCTCCGAACAGCAACTGAAGACAACGTGTTTCCTAAAAAAACTGCCGCAGGGTGAGAAACATGTCAAATTACACAACTCAGTCCTGACCGAAAAGCGCCTCGCAAGCGGTGCGGTACCTCTCAACGGCCTGCAGGCGCACGCGCGAGCTTTGAAAGGCACAGATCTAGAACATCAAGCCTGCTTCTGCTTTTCATTCTGCTGATTTGGAGGCCTCAGTCGCTGACAAACTTGATTCAAACACTGAGTGCAACTTCCACGCGCCAATCAAACCTAGCGTAAAAGTATTGCAGTTGAGCTACGGGGTTGAGGGCTTTGAGTCTGATGTAGAGCTCGTGGTGCTTTTTGTCTTCTCGGCTGAGTCAGAACTGGTACTGAAAGGAGCTGGCCTTAGTCACGCCCGAAATCTAGTCACTGAAAGCCCTATAAGACCCTCGTGCTAATTAGCTAGCTACAACTCCGGTTCAGCCAAAGGGGCTTTTCCGGGGACGTTTTTTCCAAGATAGTCAGGTCGGCAACATCGCTTTCCGAAGATATGGCCGAAGGAGCCGATGCGTCTGAGTGGCGCTTTCTTTTGCGTAGAATCCTCAGTTTCTACCAGCTATTAAATCTAGTATGTGTGCACTTGCGCAACGCATGCATGCAGTCAGGCACTTTGACTTCAGCAATTCTACGCGCGAGCTATGAGACTTCCTTAGCTGCAGTTGAGCTACGTTGCAAAACTCGCTGGAACCCAATCTGGTTCCCCAAAAAAAGTAAATTTGCACTGTACGCCAAAACACTCCGCGCGACCTTTTAATGTCCTCACCCTTGAACAACACCTCTTGAGCACGCTCGCCACCAGCGCCTTGTGCACGCTGCTGAGATTTGGGGCGCAGAGGCTTACCTGAGCAAGCGCAGATCGAAATCAACTGCTTTTGAGCTAATCTATCTAAAGCAGTCTATAGCCAAGAGTCCGTGGCCTCAAAAGTGCTCAAGGCTGGAGTCTGTGCAACCCCAAGGTCTCCTTAGCAACTGAAAACGTTTGTAAAAGCCAAAGCCGAGGAAAGTTCATGAGCAAATTCCGCTAAAAGTCTCAGGACATCGAGGCAAACGCCAACTGCAGAGAACGTAGTGTTCTCTATGTACTCCAAGGGGATCGCTTGCTGCGGGTGCGCGAAATTGGAAACGCCCTCCCAAATCTGTTCAGCACCTAAGCCGGGGTTACGCAAATCTCGCAGCACATAGCGACATGCCCATTAGCAGGTGAAGCACTAGCAGCCAAACCCATCAATGGCCGCAAGGAGTTCGCCATTCCAGCTGCTATTGCTGCAACTGCCTGGAGTCAAGGTCTGCTCCCCCCAACTTGCTCCAGCGCTTTCAAAAGCACTGGCCTGAGAGTCCTCATGAAGGGTGCCATGGGTGCCATTTGCGTCCTGCAAACGAGTTGGCTGCCACTAACAAACGAAGGAAACAATTCAAAATACTGGTTTCACGCGTCTGCTTGACTGCAATTCGGTCCTGTGTGGGCTCGGCAGAGGAGGCCATGGGGTGCACGAGCAAACTTGAAAATGCCCTACCTGCAAGTTTCATCGCACTAGCCGCGAGATCGATCCAGAAGCGCTTTTCCCAAATTAATATTGCAAGGTATATGAAAGCTGCAGCTTGTTTGTTCGCCATCGGTCGAGCCGCAGCACTGCACGCAAAGCATAGTAACCGGGTACGCGTAAACATCTTGACCGGGCCGTGTTTCGTTGTGTCTTCTAATCGTAGTCCTTTTTGCGCAATCTATACCTGAATCCTGCATTTTTTCAGCAAAAGTGTGGCTAAAAAATGCTAAAAACATGGTTGGGGCAAGAAAGCCGTCTTGGTCAATCGCCGTTGGTTTCGCCGTCGTGGGCCGGAATGTTTCACCAGGGTAAAAATTGAAAAGTGCCTGGGGACGCAAGCTTGCTCCCGCACGGGAAGGAAAACACATACTTTGGAAGATCCAGGAACCTATGGCAGACCCAAAGCAAACTCTTTCATTTCGCTTGTGCCCACGCAATTTAATCTGGGCCGGGGCGGTCGACAACGGGTGTAACACCAAAGCAAGCTCACGACACTCGTGTGGCACAAGGGCGCACGCGACTCAACCAGCTGCTTCAGCAGGCGGTTTGCGCCAAGCTGGCGCCCCATGCCATGTCTGAGCCTAGGAAGCTGTTTTCTCCCCCCAAGTTATGGGCAACATTGTGCGTGAGTGCCTGTGATTCGAATGCTAAGTTGGAGCTACTTGTTTGCTGCTGTTGCTTTCTCGAACCTGGCCATCTACTAGTCTTAAATATCAGAACCCATGCGTTGAGCCGCTGACGAAGAATGAACGTGGCTGTCGCTTGCCAACCTCAAAGAATGCACCTGGCAGTACACACGTCGGGCACCCAGACTATCGCCCAGAAATTTATTATCTAAATTAAACTGAGGGTACCCCAAAATTGCGCAAGAGTTCTGGCAATGTATTTATCTATTGTGTATATGTTTTTATATGTATATGCAACGCATCATATGTTGAAAATTCTGTATATGTGTATGTAGTTTCTAGGGCTGATCCAGCAGGGCGCCAAACATAGCACGAAAAACACGTCATTTAAGCAAAAACACGTCACCGTCAATTTTCTCCACAGAAATCAAGCACCGTCATAGTTTTCGCACACGTCAAAGAAAAAAGACGACAATTGGACGTCCAGGGTTGGGTGTTTTCACTTGTACCGACTCCTTGGATGCCTGCATGGGCGAATCTTGCGAATGGCTCAAGCTGCCATTTTTTAGTCATGAGCAGCTGGTAGCGAGGCTTTGGTACACTGCAGCAAGTTCATTCCCATGCATAGTACCATATGTTTGGCCATGCAAACTTTGTGGCAATGCATGCCTGTGCTGAAACAAAGAGCGGGCCTGCGAATAGACAGAAGCTAGGACACCCAGAAACAACGCCCATGTGGTTTCTCGTCGGATCTGGCAAATATGTCAAGCAACCATTGTGTTTTCTTGCCACCAGGCTTCCACTGCGCGAACCAGTGTGACCCGAGGAGTGTGTTGGCTTAGGGATTGACACCCTTGCACGATCAGTGACGCGAAAAGTGCCATGGAGACGGCGGACATTGTGCGGCAAGCGTTCCTGAATGCAGACGTAGATGAGTCCGGTACACTCGACACTTGGAATGTTCGTCATTGGCATACCTGATTATGGTGACTAGTTGACATATTGTGGGTGTGCCTTGATTTTAAGGGGACCTGTTCGGCACCCAGATCAGGTAAAGAGGCATGGCTGGAGGTGTGAGTTTCTCAAGCTTACTTTGTGCTCCTGGAACCGAATATGGCTCACAAGCAGCGCCTGTCGAAGCGCTCGATCCCGTGAGGGACTCGCAAATCGCCGCCATCATTGTGTTGCCCCTGAGATTTGGGTGTGTCTTTTTTTGATTCGGACCGCCCAAAAAGGCGGGTTTTCCTTTTGGCTTCCCCTAAAAGCACCCAAGAAGGGGTACCCCGGTCCAGAAAAGACACCCATTTGGGAACGCGTTTTGGATGTTTGATGCTTGTTTTGTTGACTGGAACCTACAATGGCACCAACTACTTGTGGTCCCTAGTTGTCAGGGTCTGGATTCAAGATGTCTAGGTTTGCTTAGACACCTGAGCCACCAAAGCCGGACTGAGGCTCTGCGTTACCTCGTTTTGGTTGTTTTTGTTCGCAACAACTGCTGGTGAAGTCGTTCTTGGTTCTTTTTGTTCGGAACAGCTACGGTGAAGTCGTGTTGGTTGTTTTTGTTCGCAACAGCTGCTGGTGAAGTCGTTTTTGGTTCTTTTTGTTCGGAACACCTACTGGTTAAGTCGTTTTGGATGTTTTGTTCGCAACAGCTGCTGGTGAAGTCGTTCTTGGTTCTTTTTGTTCGGAACAACTGGTGGTGAAGTCGTTTTGGTTGTTTTTGTTCGCAACAGCTACTGGTTAAGTCGTTTTGGTTGCTTTTGTTCGGAACAGCTGCTGGTGAAGTCGTTCTTGGTTCTTTTTGTTCGGAACAACTGCTGGTTAAGTCGTTTTGGTTGTTTTTGTTCGCAACAGCTGCTGGTGAAGTCGTGTTTGGTTCTTTTTGTTCGCAACAACTGCTGGTGAAGTCGTTTTGATTGTTTTTGTTCGCAACAGCTGCTGGTGAAGTCGTTCTTGGTTCTTTTTGTTCGCAACAACTGCTGGTGAAGTCGTTTTTGGTTCCTTTTGTTCGCAACAGCTGCTGGTGAAGTCGTTCTTGGTTCTTTTTGTTCGGAACAACTGGTGGTGAAGTCGTTTTGGCTGTTTTTGTTCGCAACAGCTGCTGGTGAAGTCGTTTTGGTTCCTTTTGTTCGCAACAGCTATACACTGGTTAAGTCGTTTTGGATGTTTTTGTTCGCAACAGCTGCTGGTGAAGTCGTTCTTGGTTCTTTTTGTTCGGAACAACTGCTGGTGAGGTCGTTTTGGTTGTTTTTGTTCGCAACAACTGCTGGTGAAGTCGTTTTGGTTGTTTTTGTTCGCAACAGCTGCTGGTGAAGTCGTTCTTGGTTCTTTTTGTTCGCAACAACTGCTGGTGAAGTCGTTTTGGTTGTTTTTGTTCGCAACAGCTGCTGGTGAAGTCGTTCTTGGTTCTTTTTGTTCGCAACAACTGCTGGTGAAGTCGTTTTGGTTGTTTTTGTTCGCAACAGCTGCTGGTGAAGTCGTTCTTGGTTCTTTTTGTTCGCAACAACTGCTGGTGAAGTCGTTTTGGTTGTTTTTGTTCGCAACAGCTGCTGGTGAAGTCGTTCTTGGTTCTTTTTGTTCGCAACAACTGCTGGTGAAGTCGTTTTGGTTCTTTTTGTTCGCAACAACTGCTGGTGAAGTCGTTTTTGGTTCTTTTTGTTCGCAACAACTGCTGGTGAAGTCGTTTTTGGTTCCTTTTGTTCGCAACAACTGCTGGTTAAGTCGTGTTTGATTATCTTTGTTTGCAACAACTGCTGGTGAAGTCGCTGTTGGTTGTTTTTGTTCGCAACAGCTATATATACTGGTTAAGTCGTTTTGGTTGTTTTTGTTCGCAACACCTGCTGGTGAAGTCGTTTTTGGTTCTTTTTGTTCACAACAACTGCTGGTGAAGTCGTTTTTGGTTCTTTTTGTTCGCAACAACTGCTGGTGAAGTCGTTTTTGGTTCTTTTTGTTCGCAACAACTGCTGATAAGTCGTTTTTGGTTCTTTTTGTTCGCAACAACTGCTGGTGAAGTCGTTTTTGGTTCCTTTTGTTCGCAACAACTGCTGGTGAAGTCGTGTTTGATTCTTTTTGTTTGCAACAACTGCTGGTGAAGTCGCTTTTGGTTCTTTTTGTTCGCAACAACTGCTGGTGAAGTCGCTTTTTGGTTCTTTTTGTTCGCAACAACTGCTGGTGAAGTCGTGTTTGGTTCTTTTTGTTCGCAACAGCTACTGGTGAAGTCGTTTTTGGTTCTTTTTGTTCGCAACAACTGCTGGTTAAGTCGTTTTGGCTGTTTTTGTTCGCAACAACTGCTGGTGAAGTCGTTTTGGTTCTTTTTGTTCGCAACAGCTATATACTGGTTAAATCGTTTTGGTTCTTTTTGTTCGCAACACCTGCTGGTGAAGTCGTTTTTGGTTCTTTTTGTTCGCAACAACTGCTGAAGAAGTCGTTTTTGGTTCTTTTTGTTCGCAACAACTGCTGAAGAAGTCGTTTTTGGTTCCTTTTGTTCGCAACAACTGCTGGTGAAGTCGTTTTCGGTTGTTTTTGTTGCCCCGGTGTTGAGGACAACCACTACTTTGGGGTCCCTTTACACAGGACGCGCCTAGACGTGACGTTTCAATGCCCAGGATATCGCGGAGTTCGGCCGTCTGCTGCAGCTGCTGAACCCCAGCCCTTGCAGCTGCAAGTGGCAAAACGCATTCGGGGCGATACTGATTCCTATAATAACTTTTTGTGTGTTGTGGAGGCTAGTCACCCTTTTCTCGTAGGGTTTGTAATTTTCCCAAATGATTTTATGATCGTCCATTTGCTGAAATAAACAACAAAACATGTTTTTTTCCCTTGTTGGGTTTAAAAGGAGTTTATCACTACTAGATTTTTGTTTTCCAGGGGTCATAAGCAAATGGAAGCAGTCGTGGCTCTACTGATTCCTATGATCCCTTTTTGTGTGTGTTGTGGAGGCTACCCTTTTCACCCGGGGTGTAAAGGGATGTTGTTGGGCCTAGTCTGACATTTGTAGTTTGTTGTAGTTTTCCCAACAGCAGATCACCACGGGTGGGTATTTGCTTTTGGTCAGACACTGTATTTGAGAATATATTTCATCACTATAGACAATCAGGCTGGAAGGCATTAGAAGTCAAACCCAGAGGATTGGCGGAGAAATACCACTCTGTTGTCTACAGAAACAACCAATGAAATCTCGTGGTAAAACACATCTACCCAGGCTGCTGTACACCCGGCGCAGACAGCCAGTGCTTTTTTGTTGTTTGTTTTGTGTTTTTGTTTCTATACATTTAAAATTAGTCATCATGGGTTGATCCATTCATTTGAGTTACTCCAATCGTGATTTGTTTGCATTGTTCCTATCTTGGTTTCTTCTCATGACTGTGGTTAAATAGAATGACACATCAGTTTTGGAAAGTTCTCATCTTTGAGCAGCACCTGGAGGTTCAATTTTAGCAACGCATGTCATGACTCCGGGTCCTCAAGCAATGAGTGAGAGAGGAGTTCCTAGCCCATGCGTTGTCCGGCCGCCTGGCGAATATGTTGGCTTGGTGCTACCTGAAATTTGAGCACCCCATGATGTAGTCAGGGACCCCAAAGTGGCTGACACCTATGTATATATATATATATATATTAATATACATATGCAAACTTAATGTGTACTGTATCTATGTATATAAATATGTTGTTGCATAGATGCCTGAATACTCTTACAGAACAACTGTCCAGATTTATTCGATAAAACCAGAACAAACGCTCAAGCCTGTCCAACAATGCTTGGTTCGATACAAAGCGCTTATTTCAAAACCTGCCTCTTCGTGATGGAACACCAGATTTCCGCGGCTTTCCCGCCAACTTCCCAGCAACATTGGCAACACTTCTCCACTAGGGCTGGTGGAAATATGCTAAATACAATAAGTGGCACTTCCGCAACTGCAATGAGCAAGAACTTGCTCCTATTCCAGGTATGCGTATACAACAATAACAATGATGATAATAGTAATACTAATGGCAATCATGATAATTACTGGTAATGAACATATAATATCAACATATCTCATGTTTTATGCTTAATAAAACTATTATGTATATATATATATATAATATGTATGCATATTCTACGCATGCACATGTGTGCGGTTTTACCTTCTGGAACCCACGGGTTCTGAGGCACCTGGAGCACCGAGCGGCTGGAACGTTTCTTCCTGCGTGCGGACAAGGCCTCGCGGAGTCCCAAGGGGTGGTCAAAATGAAACCGCCAGGAATTGGACCGCCGGTTTTAGCCCTTGTTTCCAGTTAGGGTTCCATGTTTGGGTACAACACATTGGGTCCTTCCCTACTCGTAGCAAGATGATGTGCTTCGCTGTTCTGAACACTGAGGCAACACCAAGAACTTGGCGCATAGCGCCGCAAATGACATGGCAGCTTTTCGTGCTTCCTGTTCATTTGGCGGCAGTGGCAAGCTCTGAACGAATCGGAATCTTCAGTCCTTGAGACCGAAACCGCAGGGCTCAGCTTTCCGCTTGGTGGCTTGGGTGCCCGGTGGTTCAGCGGTTCATTTGGGGGGGAGGTGGTCCAATTGAAAGCGGTTCAAATCCAGATCCAATCCAGTGAGCTCCACGTGCTGAAAACCGATTGGGACGATCATGGCTGCGGATATCCGCCTTAGTTCTTGAAGCATGGTTCTGGGATGACGGCCATTTTTGTACCGGGTTTTGATTGTGACTCAAGCAAGGCTTAGCTGACGAACTGCCAAGATGGTGAGAAAGTTATGGCAGCCTTGGACTATGGGATCTTGTGTAGGAAGCCCTTTGGCTGCTTAGGCAAGCTGCTCATTTGGAAGCTTCCAGGATGCTTGCAACACAAAAGTCACAGGTTGCCCTGCCTGCATGTTACATTTTCCTGAGCAGGTACCGGTACTAAAGGCTAGCCTATGTTATCTATGATAACTTACTGTTTGCAACGAAATCCTGACATGTTGTAAGTAAACTCCGCTGAATGCCCGTTTTCCGCGTGAGAGTCTTGCAACGTGGAACCGATGTGTGTTTGATGCTTGCAGTAGTTGCACGTGTCTGCGCCTGCGCGCAGACGACGAGCGAACACATCTATAGAGGATAAATCACCTTGGGAGGTGTTCAATCTATGGAATCCCTCAGATCTCAGATTATATGGCTGTGGGTCAAAACTAATGGTACCATTTTGGGGTAGGTGAATTCACCACCCATTTTAGAACCTTTTTTAGTTGGGATTGGGATGTTCACTGGGGGTACAAGATTTTGACCCATGGCCATATCAAGATCATCGGACCACCTAGGCACAGGGTTAACGATTCTAGAAACACTTTTTGGGGATGTGGAATATGGAATCCTGCAAGGTCTGGAGTTGTCTAGATTGAGATTCGATTTGGAGTTTCGGACTGTCCAAGGATCACGATTGTGAGCAAAACAACATCCAACATGATTAAAAGCGCAGCGTGTGTGCCAGCAATGAGCGTTGGTCTATAGGGATTTATAAACACATGTACACACACACACACATGTGGGTATGGCTCAAAATTAAAGAGCTAGGGTTACGCAGGTTTTAGGCCTTGGTTGCATTTGCCAAGGTGCCATTTTGGTACCGGTTTTTTGAGCCACAGCCATGTGCTGCATATTATATATATAAGATGAAGGTTTGTGTAGACACGCATCTCAGTTCCTGAGGTACAGGACTTTAGCTAGCTTTTGTTTGAAGCAATCCCTTTTTAGTGGTCAGTTCACGAAAACACCTCTGGTATTTTACTGACTGTTTGGGGGGTTCGGACCAATTTGGTGGTACGTTAACCAGCAAAATAATCTGGTTGCCTTTTTTTGGGGGCCATGCACTCGATGGGAGGTTTTCGGTATCTCGAACCAACTGACGGCGCGGACGGCGCGGACGGCGCCGCAAGTTCGCCAGGACGGCTCGGGCCGCGTGGATCTGCAGGAGACGCTGGACTGGCTGCTGGCCGCCCCGTGGCCTCATGCGGTGGCTGGGAGGGTGGCCCTTGACTGGGCAACGGATCTTTAGACGGCTTTTTGGTTGAAATAAGGTTGGGTTTTCCACTCAACCCCTGAAAAGTTTAACTTTTTTGCAGGGGGGTCAAGGGCAACCAAGGTTTTGTGTGTGCAATGGCCGCGGGGGAGTGCGTGCTTTCGCGTGCTTTTTCATTGGCTTTTTGTGTGTGTTTTTCGTGAAAATGACATTTTTTGGTTTGGTCAGACATAGATGGGTTCCACTGGTTTAGATGGGGCGTACATGCCATCCATTTTTTATTGCAACCAAAAGGTCGCCAAATGGTACACCAAGACCAAGAATCCCTCCGGACTGCCTTGCAACTCAAGCGGTCCGTCACCCAGGAATTCTCCAGAAGTCTCCGGAACTTGCCACAAATCCCGCAACCTTTGGCTTTCTCCCTCGGAGCTGCTCTGAACCAGTGGCCCAGCGAAACATTGAACCTCTGGCTTCAAAAGACGGGCCGCCACAAGGCGCACCGGTTTCAGGTATTTAGTGGCATTTCAAAAGCCGCGAATACGAATCTGGGCACAGCATCGAACTGTGTTTGTAAGCTTCATTCAGAAGGTTCCTTTCGGAATTTCTGAGTGATTCATTTGCTCATGATTCACGCAGAACACCGAATAATCCCTTCTCCCAAATGCTAAACGTTCACTCACTCACTCACTCACTCACTCACTCACTCACTCACTCACTCACTCACTCACTCACTCACTCACTCACTCACTCACTCACTCACTCACTCACTCACTCACTCACTCACTCACTCACTCACTCACTCACTCACTCACTCACTCACTCACTCACTCACTCACTCACTCACTCACTCACTCACTCACTCACTCACTCACTCACTCACTCACTCACTCACTCACTCACTCACTCACTCACTCACTCACTCACTCACTCACTCACTCACTCACTCACTCACTCACTCACTCACTCACTCACTCACTCACTCACTCACTCACTCACTCACTCACTCACTCACTCACTCACTCACTCACTCACTCACTCACTCACTCACTCACTCACTCACTCACTCACTCACTCACTCACTCACTCACTCACTCACTCACTCACTCACTCACTCACTCACTCACTCATTCACTCACTCACTGCTAAACCTGGTTTTGCTGGGGAGGACCCACTTAGTAGGTGGGGGGGCCGTTTAGCATTCGGTCAGGAGGATTAGGGAATTTATCCAAACCGGGAATCATTTTCCTTTAAATGGCTGAGAATGGGTGGGGGGGAGGGGAAATGTGTGAAACTCCGGGTTCCCTCTACATAATATGTTCCGCTGAAAGCTGAGCGTCAGTCTGGTACTTTGATTTCTTACCTGGGCGTCCCACATATACCGCATCAGCAGGATTGCTTTTGACCATCGAGCTGTCCAACTTGGGATTGGGGCCTGACAGACTTAGGAAGTTTACCTTGTGGGCTCATGGACTTTCTTTGTGGGAACTCCACTCCCCCGAGAGTTCCTCTTGTGGGCTCATGGATTTTTCGGAACTCCATTCCCCCGGTGTCCAGCTTGTCTTTGGCAACCTGGGCCACTTGTGACAAATGTCCGCTCTCTCCGTCGGGTCAAAGCCGAAAATGTTTCGCCCAGAAAGAGCCAGCAGAGCCAACAGAGAAGGAGGAGGACTACGGGGGGGTGGACAGCTTGCGGATGTGCCAGCTGCACCTGAAGGTAACAAAGAAATCTAATTGTAATGATTGCTTAGTACCCCCCCCAGCTGGTTTTTGGAGAGTCAACCGCTTAACCCCCGACAATCCGGTTAACCCTCAAGGGCGTCCGGTTTTTGGAGGGTCCCCCTGATTCCCCGGTCCTCTTTGCTCCTCTCCGGTCCTCTCACTGTGTTGGCCAACAAGAGACTGCGATAGGAGAGTAGCAGGAAATGCTTTTTGCACAGCTGGAGAGAGCCATGATAAATCGCGGGGGGAGGGGGGGGCGTTGTGTCAACGACAAACTGGCCTTGAATGAGCTTGTCAAGTCTTGATGTTTGAAACGAAATGTCACTAGACAACTTGTATTGAAGATTTTTGCTTGGAACCATGAACGTAGCATCAGAAGAAGTATGGGCAATACTTTAGGCAGTTGTATTTTATGGTGTTCCAATATATAATACCTACTTACCTACCTACCTACCTACCTACCTACGTACATACATGCATACATACATGCATACATGCATACATGCATACATGCATACATGCATACATGCATACATGCATACATGCATACATGCATACATGCATACATGCATACATGCATGCATGCATGCATACATACATACATACATACATACATACATACATACATACATACATACATACATACATACATACATACATACATACATACATACATACATACATACATACATACATACATACATACATACATACATACATACATACATACATACATACATACATACATACATACATACATACATACATACATACATACATACATACATACATACATACATACATACATACATACATACATACATACATACATACACACATACATACATACATACATACAGACATGTGCGGGTGGTTGGGTGGGTGGCAGCAGTGTTCGTGTGTTTGTGTATGTGTGTTTGTGTTTGTGCCTGTGCTGTGTTCGATTGATGGTGCGCTTACATGCTGCCTTTGCTTGCGCGCCGCTTCAACATTGTGTACATATTATATATATATATATGTATTATGTGTTGTGTGCTTTATGTTCCTGATTTGTCAGCTTTGTGATGTGTGTGTGTGTGGGTATGTGTTGTGTTGTGTAATTAGCCGTGTTTGTGCGTGGCGTGTATGTTGTTTGTGATTGTGTGTGCGTTGTGTACATGTCATGTGTTTCTGACTGTTTCTTTCATTTATTGCTTGTGTTTGTGTGTGTGTGCATGTGTCTGTGTTCTTGTGTGTGTGTGTGTGTTTGTTTGGGTGCGCTGTTTTGGAAATGTTCGAGTGGTGTTTGTGTTTGCGAGTGCGTATGTGTGAGTCGGTCGATGGCTAGCTTGCGTGCATTAATGGTTGAACGTGAGTTAGAGACTACGGCAGGCAGGCTGATCACATCCTTTGCTTCCCGAAAGATCTGCCGGGAAGTGGCAAAGTTTCCTTACTCAAGTCGTTGTGCGCTTGCTTGGGTTTGAGCCCAAAAAGTGATACCAACATCCCAACCCCCATCCACCCCCTGAAAATCAATTGATGGTTCCATTTCTAGAACAATGGAATTGGGTCCCGGACCCCCCACCCCCCTCCCCCCTTAAGGTAGGGGGAATATACCAACTCCCAAGACCCGACCTCCTTGGGGAAACCCGTATCTATTTGTTTCCAAACACCAACATGGCACCTGACAGAGGGTCCCTAGAGGAACATCATCTTCCAGCTACCCTCCCACAGGTGCCCTCTGTTTGGGGAAGGGAGGCACTCCCTCAGACTAACATGGAAGATACCCAAATTGGCCTTTGTAAATGGAACCAAGTCTTCCAAAGGTTTCCACCCCAAGCCGAGTCCCCCACCGAAAGCCGAAAATGAGCAACCACCGAAGATGCCCACAAGCCGAGTCCACCCCAAGCCTCGACGCATCGACGGCTCGACCCCGAACCGAGCGCCTCGGTAGGAGTCGCAGTGGGGCGCGGAGCTGCGACCTCGGCGCAGCTCTGAGGTGTCGCGGATCATGCGCCTCGGAAGTTCTGCAGGATCCGGTACAAAGGGCTAGAGGGGTTGGTGGTGGGGTCTCTGGAAAAAGGTCTCCAAATTGATTGGGGTGGATGGAGTGCCGTGAACTCACTGCGTGAGCTTACTTTTTTGGACTTTGGGCACTTTTGTTCCTGGACTTGAGGCACTTTTGAGGTTTGGAGCATTCCGGACTTGGGCACTTTTGGGTTTGGACAATTTTAGTGGCAAACAAAAAGTGTGGTTACTTGTCTTGGGCCATCCACTCAGGAAGCTCGGGTGCGTGGGTTCAGATCTGGGGTCTCCAAAGTGATTGTCCTAGGATACACTATACTATTATCAGATGAATGCGACAGAGGTTTTCAAATTGGGGGTTCTTTAGAGGTTTTCAAATTTTGGGTTCTTTGGAGGTTTTCAAATTTTGGGTTTGTTAGAGGGGGTCTTCAAAGTGATGTCTTACTTCAGGGTAGACTGAACATGCGACAGAGTCAGAAATGGTTTTCTGCGACCCCAGACATGGCCCCGTGTCTCTCCTTTTTGAACAGCAACAGTGTCTACATCTGGAGAAATGATAGCGACATCACGAAGGGGGTGGCAACCCGAGCCTTGATGAAGGTTTGATTTTCATTTCAGGCTGGGGTCATTGTCGGGTGGTACTCAGCGTATACGAATATCGTCCAGAAGGAGGGTTTCAAGACACCAGCCAAAGCAGGTTTATGTCATGAAAAGTCCATCTCTAACAAACCCCAGTGGATGCTCAGTTTCCCTTAGCAGAAAACCAGCTATGTCTCTTTGTTTTGTTCCATGGTGGCATGCCCTTGGTTGCCGACAACATCAGGTAAATGGATCCAGACAAGCAGCTATCTATGCAGGCTCCACGGAAGACCCACGTGCAGTCTTACGATGTGTTTTTCCTCGGCACGCTTTTCATGGTCTGCGGTTAGGTGACACAATCCGTTGAGTCATAGACGTATCTTTGCAGCGAGCTTGGAAGCTCACCTCACTCCCTGACTTCCTGGACTTTATACTTTTTAGGAAGACCAGCTTAATCGATCGCAATCAACATGGAATTGTCTGGGCCCATTTACTCAGGGTGAGACACTGATTTTCCAAGGAAAGCCTTCGATGATGCCGACATGAACAAAGATGGCTTTTTAGACAAGGAGGACGATTCAGAGCCTGCCGTCGGGCGGGCAGCATATGTCTGCTGGAACCGCCGCACTCGCAGGTTCTTGGGGGGCCAGTGGATCTGTTTGAAGGCAGCACCTCAGTGAGTGCCGTGTTTAGCTATCCACTGACGGTAGATGGCAATCGAATGGAGCAATCAGATATTACTTTCTCTTGCACGCGAAGCCAACCAGCTTTCATTCCTGATTTGCGGATGGTTTACTGGCATCCTTTGAGGCATTCGTCTCTCAAGCCATGTATCGGTCAAAATGAAACCACCAGTGGACCACTGGCTTTTGCTCGTTTGCCAGGGCAAGCCATTTTGGGTTTACCCGATTTTTGACCCACCGCCTTACAGCTTTAAGCCTGCGTGTTGCTTCGAGGGGCACCAGCATTTCCCCACCTGGCATATCGGAACGGTGAGGAAAGACGGCCCCGGTGATGTGACTTGGCTGTGGGTCAAAACTAGGGTAACCCCAAAATGGAAGCCTGGTAAATGGAACCAAAGACTAAAACCTGCAGTCCCCGAATGACTTCATTTTGACCCACACCCACTGGTCGTTACGGTCCGACGGGTTTCGACTCGGGCGAGGAGTTTGCATCGCTGCTGATGCACCTGGACCCCAAGCGCTTCAGTGATCCCAAGCGGCTGACACTTGGCATCGCATGCGTCCACGGAGACAGCTTCTCGCACAAGGCCCTTGCTTGAGTCTGAACGGACGCCACAAGGGGCACGTACTTCCATTTGCTCAAGAATATTGTTAATTGTCCCCTGTTGATTTTCAAACGAATCCATCAGTACTGGATGTTTTTTTTTTTTGTATTTTCAGGGGGCTTAAGCAAATGAAAGCCTAGGTGCTTTGACATACCCTCCCACGTTGCCATGGCACTTCTGGGAGGGTACCTAGAAGATCAATTCTTGCAGGGACTGGGTTCCCGTGGGGTGCCATGGCTGGCGGTTGGTTTTACCATGGCTCAGGACTGCCGCGTTTCTCAAAGCGGACAACGACCACAGCGGCAAGTTGGAGGTTGATGAGGCATGGAAGCGCGTTTGGTCAGTGTCCCCAAACTTGTTGTGCAGGCCCCGACCATTGTGAACCTGTGTTGTTCAGAAGCCATGCGAGGCAATTGTTGCTAAACCGAGGTTCCGGAGGATACTCAAACCGACACTCAGCGATACTCATGCTTGCCAATTCCAACCAGCTGCCCAGTAGCACGCCCCTTGGGTTTGCCAACTCCTGGAGTTCCTCTTCCTGATGACCAAGTCAAAAGCTTGTCATCTTTTGGGGGCATGCAAAGACAGAAATACATTCCGCAAAACTCCATAAGGGTTTTACTCAGTTTGTCATTCTTGGCGGGGGGCTTCAATTGGATTTTTCGACGGCCCTGTTTACGGCCTCATCCAGCTCAAATCGGTGGATGTCACAAAAAGGATCCTTCCAAGATAGAGTTTGCCGTGGGTAAAAAGCTCAGCGGCGTTGTATAGAGTTAGGAGCCGTGTGACTCTCTAAGACTCTAAAAGTGGCCGGCGTGGCGCTTTACTTCAAACTGAGTATGCAGAAGTCTGCTAGGCATCTGATCATTTGGCCGCCATGATCAGTCGCAGTTGGGATTAGCCCAACGACAAACAGACACAATTCACGAGAGATACAGATTGCCATTCCCTCTCAGCCATTAACATGGAACCTGACAGTCGGCCCCTTCAAAATTCGGAAAATTGTTCAAGCCAGGACCCCCTGAACTTTGGTTGGAGGGTACCTCTTCACCAGATTCGGAGGTCTCGCAACGTCCGGCGAGGTGGAAAGCTGGCTGAGGGATTACCTCGCCAAGGTGGGCACCAGCGAGGAGGAGGAGCGCGCGAGTGCGCAGTGCGGGAGGTCCCACCACCCGATGTCCACACATCCCCTTGACGTACGGGTACCGAAAAGCAGTTCGCTGGGAGGTGCTGGTAACAATCGTTTTTGTTGTTTTTTATGTGTTTTTCTGTGTCGCTCTTCTTGTTGTTGTTTTTGGGGGGAGTGGATGGTCCAGCTCAAAGTGGCGGAGAGTATTGCATGGTGTATGGCGCACAGCGAAGCTCCAAGAGTCACATTTGCCGAGTCGGCGGTTGCGATGGTGCGTTATCGGGTTAATTATAGCGTCTTGGGGTGCGCAGTTGAGCGCCATGATGTTATCATATGGCCAAGACCAGATGAGGTGCCTTGTTCCAAAGGGTTTGGAGTTGGAAGGTGTCCTTTGCGCGCAAGAATTGCAACACACAGCACGGAAGTGTGATGTTGTGCTATGAATTTTAGGTCAAGTCTCTTTCGTGAAAGAGCGGCTCATCAGCGAAGACTAGAAGTTCGGCCGGCTGAGAAAACTGGGCAGAGTATGTGGTGACTAGTCTCTTTCAGAGTTGCCTCCCAGCTATTCAACCCCTTCCCACAAATGCCGAGCTTCACTCCAGAGACAAAGTAAAACCTTGCTAAGCCAACTCCAATGGCCAACCCGCGGCCAACCTGATTCTTTCCGGAAGCGTCTGGAGTAGATACTTGCTCAGTTCCCACGCCACGCGCCAGTCTTTCTGCGCGAGTCCCTTTGGTCGGTCCCTTTGGTCGGGTCTGCTGCACTTTGCGACCGGAAGATGTCAGGCTCCTCGAAATTGGTTTCCACGAACCCCACCGCAACATTATCTAGGAGAAGTGCCTCGATCAAAACCATCCCCAATTTGGTTTCCTTTAAGGGAATCCCCTTGCGGTTCATTGCAACCACCCAGAAGGTTCATTCCCTACTTGCACCAGCAAGTTTGTATACTTCCCTGGATGTCCTCTTATTCTTCTTCTTCTTCTTCTTCTTCTTCTTCTTCTTCTTCTTCTTCTTTTTCCGGTCGCGCCGTGTGACGCACTACGCGCTTGAGTCGGAGGAGCTCTATATGCTCTTGACCTGGCGGGATAACCGCATAGCTGGGCCTTTGCGCTTGGGCGCCGGGGCACCCGGGCACGCGCGGAGGCTTTAAGAGGCTGAGGGAGGCGTTGGGCGGAGGCTGAGGGAGCTGAGGGCTGAGTCTGCCTTGAAATTGAAAGCTCCCCAAGGCAGGCCACCCTTCAACGGTCAAATGGACACCAAAGGCTTTCCTTGTGCTTCGAGATGGCTTTGAACTCCCCATCGGATAAATTAAATAGCCTCCCCCCCCTCCCCCCGGCCCCCCACACCCGGAGATGGTCCAGAAAGTGTTTGCCTCCAAAAGTCAGATTCTGGAACTGACATATTCGGAGAGGTCCACTTTGGCATTGGGCAACAAAAATACTACTTTAGTGTTGAGCAGCACTACTCTGGAATTGGGAATGAGGGTTTCAGAACTCCAGAAGGACTTCAGAAGGAGCTTCGGCCCATGTTTTGCTGGAGCTTCCTTTGAATTTGATTTTATCTTTCTTTTACTTGATTTCGTATTGTTGGTTGTGAATTTGATTTTTGAATTTGAATTGAGCTGCCATTTTTGACTTAGTATTGTTGGATTTGAGTTCCCATTTGATTCAGTATTGATGGATATTCTTTTTGTTTTTAGATGTTGGTTTGAGTATCCAGTTGATCTAGTATTGTGGGATTTGACTTTCATGTATTCTAGCATTGCTGGAGCTTTCTTTTGATTTTGATTTGAGCCGCCATTTGTGTGATTTTAGGAAGTATTGATTGAGTTTTCATTGATTTAGTATTGCCGGAGCTTAAACTTGGGTGCGGCCTAGATGGCCCCAATGAATACCATCGGGACCCACTTTATTAACATGGGCTGGGCACTCATGCGGGGTACCTCATGTGACCTTCGCACACCATTACTTTGAAAGGTTAAATAAAGCAACTGCACTTTCAGAAAGCAGCTCGTTTTTTGGATTTCAGGGAGTTCTGGCTGATGTTGGTACTGGCTTGGCACTGTAGCACTAGTGCAAAGTATGAGCATGCACAGAATGCAGCAGCGGCGGAACCAGGGGGGATTTGAACTTGTCATTCGGGACAAGTGGTTTGTTGGTGGAAAACACTTATTTTCATGAGTTCCAGTGTTCAATTTGCTTAGTATTGGGGGGGGTCCTGTGGGACCTTTTTGATTCCATCGCTTCATTAATCCTAGGTCAACATTACGTGCGTGATTGGATAAGTCGGTAGAAACTTATTCAATGCGGCTTCAAATAGGAGTAGATGAATGGCAGGCTGACATTGAGTTTCAGATGTCAGCCAGATCGGCGTTGCCAACCAAAAGGAGCGTAACGCAATGTCGTCATGTCACGCAAGGGTGTGACTTGTTGAAGGTGCGGATGTATTTGCAGCTTAACATTTCACCACTTAGCCTTTTGGCTGTTTGATGATTGTACACCTAAGTTATTTTGTACCCATGGTACAGCTTCAGTTCACGCCATTCATGTTTTGCCCACTCAGATTTTAATTTGGTATGGTTGATTGAGCACCAATCCCTTCATTGCTGCTACCTGGCTAATTGTTGGTGCAGGGTTTCGAACATAGCCTGCACTCGAGGAGTGAATCCTGAGTTGGCTGCGCAAAGAAACGTGTAGCGTTGTGAAATGGCCAAGAGACCTGGTTGCCGGAGCTGATGGGGGATGATCTTGCCAATCCCTGCACAATAATTTCTGGCAACAGTGACAAGGCTTGGTATTCGGGGCCGTGACAATTGATCATACAATCGAAATCGACCTTGGACACGCACGTCGCGTCAACCACTCTGTATTGTTTTTGCCTGGTATTAGGCATTCCTAAATTTGTGCTCCGAACGATTTTTGAGGTGGTGTTTAGCTTGCTTTCCTTTAATCAGAACCCAGAGGTGGCAGTTCATTTGTTCTCTCTTCCGACTTCCGGCTGCATTTGCCGGCAAAGCCGGGGGGGCTGGGACGTTGCGCCCAGGACCTCTTAGGCGCCTTTCAGCTTTGCACTACCGCAGGACGGGCTGCGGTAGGGGCTGGGGGCTGGGGCTTTGTGTGGCGCGGGCAAGCCATGTGTGCGTGTGTGTGTCTTGCCAGGGGCACCCTTCAACCGAAAGGAAGCCAAGCTGGTCCCCTACTAAAAGCACACAGCGCTTGTAGCGGCATCCCCAAGACGTGTAGAAGGGCAATTGAGCTTTGCTGCAGGAGTAGCGTTGGGGAATGTGGAGACAGTAGTGTACAGCAAGTGGGCGCATCAAATCATGAGGTAAATAAGTAACGGTGCGTGCTAGCTGCTGTGCTGAGAATGAGCTAGATTGTTTCACAATCACGGAGTATTGATTGAGCCATTGCTATTTTCGATTGCAATAGCAATTTCGAATGATTGTTGCTCCTGACATAGCTGATTGAGCAACAATGCCTACTCAATGGTTTCGTGTCGCTGGTTTCTGGGAACCCGCTGGGTGTCTAGCCGCTGCCAAGCGGGCTGAAAGCTGGTGGGCACTGACAGCAACTCAAGCCACCGTTTCTTTCCGTGTTCAGCCGCTTCGCGGTACGTTGTAGGTGTTGTTGGCTTTGCAACGCCTGCTACGGTGGTTCGCTGGCACTTCTACAGAGCTGTGGGCATTCAGATTTCACTTGCTTCTCTGATTGAGTGGACAGAGCTTTTATTTTAGCACAAGCAAAGAACTATGCAAGTGACAGCTGTTTTCTGCAATACACTGGGAGTGTTTTGTCTTGTTCGCAAGTGGATTTGTTTGTGGGTTGAGTCCCCACGGCTAGACCGCCCCGGGCCGCTTGGCCGCTTGGCGACCCGCAGGCATGAACGACCGCTTGAGGCGTCTCATTCCTCAGCAAGTGCCAGGCGCGGGCATGCAAAGCGCCCACATCCCCAGAATCCCATTTTAGTAGGTGCTACATGGTTCCACTACCTGGTTTTATGAGGGTCGTAACAGTTATACTGAGGCCTATACAGCCTATATCAACCTTCATACGCACCTTAGTGGAACCACAAGTCCGGGGTTAGGCCTGTAGGAAGCTGGTCTACAATCATCTGCACAAGATACGTTTTGGGATTGCCCGTCAATTCACCTTGCCCCTAATTGCTAATTGGTGGTGTGGGCTTGTGACCTGGGCGATTCGAAGATTCGATTGCTGACATTGGTGGCGTGCACTGGTTCGACTTTTGTGTGGAGCCATTGGATGCGTTCGGGGTGCCTTTGGCCTTGCAAAAGATGCACCTGACGAGTCTTTGAATGGCATGCTCGCATTGGAATCAAGAGCCCCATCCACATGGATGCGTTGATCCCCTCTCATGCTCGCATTGGAGTTTCCACGCACATTCGTTGACTCATGGTGCAAGGGCGAAGTGTAGATCCCATCTCAGCGACGCCTTTTGGGAGGTCACCGACATGGTTTGAGAAGGCGTCCTGGACCACGGACATTTGGTCACTTGGGGCTCTGGGCCTTGTTTTTGTTGCTCGGTTTAGATTCTGAGCGGAAACGCATGACATGAGCGGAAACCGCACGTGTTCTCCAGGAAAGTCCTACACATGTCCTTGAGCGCCTGGCGAAATAATTATGTCAGAAAGAAGGCACCTGGCAATTCACGCCCTTTATGAAGCATGGGGACAAATTCTATATAAATTTCAATCATGGGTTTAAACGCAGAACAACTATCTCTCTCTCCACGTGTGAACTAAAAAGAAAACACATTATTCCAATCCTTAAACTTGCAATTCGAAACCTTGACATAGGAAACAGCATGTGGGTATGAGTCAAAATTACACCACCAGGGGACCGCAGGTTTTAGTCCATGTTTCCATTTACCAGGGTTCCATTTTGGGGTTACCCTAGTTTTGACCCACAGCCATGTATGGATTTTGGATTTCCAAATGGCGTAACCGTGGCGTTGTGTGGCATGGATCTTCACAATGAGCTCCTTGCGCGAGGCTTCTTCGAGCCGCGCGATGCGGCTTGGATTCAGCATGACCTTGGGGCTGTTTGGCTGCAGCCGCCTGAGACTCGTGAGTTGACTCCACTTTCCACCGTCATCCACCCCAACATCTCCTCGGATCTCCTCGGATTCATACTATTCCTCAACTGTTTCATGGGGCGTTCCTGTTTAGTGTGGGGTTTATGCTTGTCAGTGGCAATTTGTTTATGAGTACGTTCATATAGACCTGAAACCGACAGGTTTTCTGCCCCCGAGTGTTTTCCATCACCAAGTATCAAATAAGCAATTCAGAGCCAAGCAGTGCCCCATGGGGGGTGGAACACAGCGCAGTGTATTCAACACCCTCTACCCAGGGTTGGGCAAACTTGGTACACCCATGGCCCCTTTCAGAATTTCAACAGACATTTGCTCGAAGATGATGTGTTTACCCGGAAAAAAATGTTGCAGCTCTTTGAATGCGACCCTGTTTGAAGGCCCAGCACTGACAAGTCAACTCTATGAAGGAGTGGTAGGTGTATGCCTTCCGCCCGGTTCCTTAGGCGTTTAGTTATTTTAGTGGTTGGGTTTTCATTGAACCCACAAACAGTTTAACTTTTGGCAAGGGATCTGAGGACAGCCCAATTGTGTAAAGGTGGTGTTTTGGGCGTGCAACGTTTTGGGAGCCGCCTTTGGGTTGGGAGAAAGAGGGAACCCAAAAGAAAGCGAATGGGTCGAAGCTTCGTGGGGGATTGGCAAGCTTGGAGAATCGAAGCAGAGGACTGGAGTCTGGGATGGGCATTCAACTCGAGGTCAAAATCAACCACGCTATTACTCATGGCGCCTTCCTATGTAATGGCGTGCGGCTAGATTAACGAAGACAGCCAGTGGAATTGCGGAGTCGTTGGTGGTGAAACAGAGTGGCAATGCGAATGCTTTCTTGCAACTTAAAAGTCTCAAGGAGTTCAACTCGGAGCACCTGGAGGGCTTCTTTACAAATTCTGCAATTGGAGTGTTGGCTTTGGACCTCCCATGGAACGCCCTCACCCGTCTTTCGCAGGTCTCTCCCATGGAGTTTGTGCTTTTGTTCGAGTACCTCAGAGACAACCGCGATGCGAACGCCGCTCGCCAAAGAAGTGGCCGGTGCCCCTATGTCCAGAAATGCTATGACATCAAGCCGTGATTGAAATGCATTTTGCATACGAGTTAGAGACGCAAGTTGTGAATATGCCGTGGGTGTTCCTTTATGAACCCCTGTTTGCTCTTGAGATCACGCATCTGTTGGCTGCCAATCAATGATCAAAGCGCTGGATCTTATAGCTCGCGATGAGAGGTTCTGACACTTCTGTGCGACCGCAATTGTAAAAGTTAGTTGTCAGGCCTTTTCGAGCCTTGTGCGCATCAAATATAGCCCTGATTTTTGTCCAGATCCTTGCAAGCTCGACAAGCATCTTGGACTTGGCATAAAGCTCCGAATATATCAGCAGACCATGGCGCTTTGTGCTACTCTCAATCAAAAATCCAAGCAGCCCCGCAAGATTATCCCTGAGAGCATAGGGCCAGGTTGGACCTGCTTTATTGCTAGCAGAAGCTATCAGGCTTCCTTTGGAGCAACTTGAAGCGGAAGATGCTGCGCAGCAAGCTTACAATCATCGGTATTGGACAATGGTAGATGACGGGGAGCTTCCCCTTTCACCTTTACTCTTCGGATAATGATGTGAATGATGATATGATGTCTCAGTCTAATTTCAGTGATGTGAAATCAACATGCTTTGGATATCTCGGCAGAACGCTCCTGGTACATGCCAAATGCTTTCACGGCGATCAATCGGCATGAGCCACCTGAGAGGCCCCTCTGGGGGGTACGGAGAACAGCCAATATCTCGCTTAGGGAAACGACCACGGGAATTTCTGCACCGACTCAACCATGTCTTCTGACGGGAAGCGGTTTGTGTTTGTCAGCTTTTGCTGTGTGAAACGAAACGTCCTCAACAAAACTGTGTTTTCCAGCGATTGCTTGCGGTTTCGTCGATTCGTTTTGTCTTCTTGCCATGCACACGGCGCGTGATGTTTTGCATTAACAGACAGACCAAGCCGACAGCAGCTCCGCCGAAAACTATTTGCCAAGGACAAAGATGTCAGGCGCGGCTGGATGGGAGGACGGTCAATTGCTTGAGGGATTGAATTAGTTGCGGCCAGATTATGGCGCTTTTGTACGCAGGCAATGCCCCAAACATAGCCTGAAGTGCAACCGGAGAGGACCTGGTTCCGCTACCTGCCCCTGGATATTCTAACAAAGTATGATTGAAATAGACATGTGGAGCCAAACTTCATTGGGTTTTGACTGTGCTTGCTTGGTGTGGGATAGAGAATAGATCAGAATCATTGTTCAAATGGAACTGACCCAGTGCGCTGCTGAGACCATTAATTCAAGTGCAAACCATCTTAGGACACATGTTGACTGCGGAATGCCTGCGTGTCGGAAATGTAACGAAAACAAATGAGAGTGTCCGTTCGCGAAGACTATGTACCTGATGGTTCTAACTGGAATAGGACTGATTTGCTTCGCTATCTCGTTTTGTCAGTTCTTTACAACAAAGCGCCCACCCATTCCAGATATTACACATGACATTAGAGAAGACACAAGCTTATGCCTAGTCTGATGGACGTCAAGTTATGTTGCTTGTGTAGTGCAACAAGTGTGATTTGGGGTGCAAGTTGCAGTAGTTGTGCTTATGATGTGGGTTGTAAGTTGCAGATGGCGAGTTGGCTTTGTGAGCGTTCAGACGTGTATCCTCAAGTTTATCTTTGGTTTCCATAGGTGTGAAGTAATGTTGACCCCATACTCATCAACCCCTGTTTATGGGGGTGTTCCCCTCCAGTGACAAATCCCCACTTAACCCAACAAAACACCCCCCTATGAAACAACACGGGGTGAGGAATACGGGGCCAACATTATGAGCAACCTTGCTGGTGCTCAGCAGGGAATGAGAAATGCAATGAACCCTATAAACCATCCAACGGGTTGTTTCCTTTCAGGGAATCCCCGAAACCGGTTCCTTCCATTTCTCATTCCCTACCAATCGCACCAGCAAGTTATGTTTTTGTAGTTGTGTCTTGTGTTGAACCAGTGACCATTTCCTTTCAAAGCGGAACGGGAAGAATGAACGACATATCCTTCAGAAAATAGAAGCAACAAGGCATGAGGGAAATCGCCAATTCTCGTCGAACGGCCACTCCTGACGGCCGCTGTTGCCCTCTCTGCCAGGGAGCTGTTTGGCTCCCCCACCTGGCGAAGGAAGATGAACAAGAAGGACGCGACGTGGATCATCCAAGGGTCCCTGTTGAAATGGCTGTGGTTGTCAAAGCCAATGGTACCATTTTGGGGTAGGTGCACCACCCATTTTAGTCTGCTTTAGTGTGGATTGGGATGTTCACTGGGGATACGGGATTTTGACCCATAGCCAAATATTGAATGGATGGGACTAAGGTGAAATGTCCTCCAGTCACTTCACCCCATTGATAAATACATCAATACATCCTATGAATAGCCTTTTTTTGCAGACCCCAAAGCTCACAATACCAGTAGAGCCGGCGAAGCCAGTGGGCGGAAGTTGCAACATATGAAAACTATAGTTAGAATTCCCGCTCTTTAAGATAATTTGAGTTCCCATTTCTTGCTGCGCTCCCGACAAGCACGGAACTGCGGAGGCCCTTAAAGACATCATGACTCGCTCACGCGTTCTCATCCCCAGACAGTGGGTTGCTTCCTTTGCTCCTTTCACTAGAGGGGTTTTCCTTTGCAAAAGAGTTCCCCCCCCAAAAGAAAAGCAACCACACAAAGCACGGCGGTGTTTTTCCCCTGGCGTTGTTTGAATGGTCCGAATTTCAACCAGTTGCCAGTCAGGACCTAAAGCGGAGCTTCTCCGGAAACCTCACCAGCTTGGTGCATGGCCTTGGCCCCTCGCCGGCCATGGGGAGGGCCATGGGGCCAGCGAGGGCAGTGGGGCCATCAAGCCATGGCCGTCGAATTCCTAGGTCCCTCAGCTGGGTGCCCGACCTCTCTCCCCTTTTTGGTTGGGAGGGTTCTCCAACTAAATTCACTACAGAAAAAGTTGGTACCAAATTATTTATTCTAAGCTCTCTACTGGACCTAGATTCTCTGCTTGTTAGCTGCGGCCGCCTTCTTAATTCTTTATATGACCATTTTAAGACCGGGTTTTGATTATGACTCATTTGTAATTTGCGTGGCTTTTCATGAAATAGTTGGACCTTGCCGCAGAGCGGAGCCTCCCATTGGCACGTTCACACAGTTCTATACTAGCTTTCCGAAACAAACGGACCCAGAAGGTCAGGACCTGTTTTTCGCTCGGCCCACAATCTGCGAAGCACGTAAACAAATGTGTAAATCCTGATGCTCTCACGCGGGGTTGATTAACGCTTTCCATGGGCCCCCAATTTTGACCATGGGTACAGCTTTTTCCATGTGGTTGACATATCAAATCTTCGTGATTTCCCAACCGATGCTCATCCTATGATATTACGGACCTTTTCATCAACCCTCATGTCTTCACCGGTGCAAAGGTTGCTTCCTCTTCTTTCTATGCTGGATTCTAAAACGGCCAATGGCTCTTTCGCCCCTTTTTAATGCCCCGAGGAAAAAACAGAAAACATGTCACCGCCTCAAGCAAGCTGTCGCCCTAAGACTCGTATATGGATGTGCCATTTTTGAGGGGACCCCCAAAATGTCTTGGGTCTTGGCTTGTCCTTGGGGCTTCCTTTTTGAAAGAGGTACTCCAAAAGGATACGAGCCACCCACATGGTTCATGTAGTTTGCCGCCTCGGGTGCTGCACAGCAAGACAAGAAGCCGACGCCAGGGAAGCCTTGCACAAAGCGCAATCTAGGATCCAATGCCGCTTTCAAAGCGCTGGCCCGTTCAACAGTTCTGGGGGCAAACCACGTGCCCCTGTGCAGGTACCCCTGGCATCCCACTGGAAAAGATGTCTATCTACCATGTATGTGCCCATAGTGTATTTAAGCTTCTGTGGTATTTTACAGGGGCTCCTAGCCAGGGGTACATGGTTGGGACCTTGGAAAAATAAGGGGATCCCTCATCCCAATCCGTATCTCGTCGTACACCAATACAACAAAGGACTTATCATGTGGCCAGCTTCCTAAGGATTGAGTTCTTCAAGTTGGTTCCCACTTCGGATCTTCCAAGACCCGCGATTCCCCCCGCCCCCCCAGGGCACCACACCAAAAAAACAGGCGCCTTTTAAAATGCAGCCCTCCCCTCCCCCCCCCAACCCACCCCACAGCCCCCACCTCACCCCACCCCCCCCACCCACCCCACCCCCCCAAAGCCGAGACCCAAAAACCGGCCCCCAGAAAGTCGGCGCGACCAACGCGCCGGCCTCTCCGAGGGCACAACCCCAACACCCCAGTGGGCCTCGGCCTCTTCAAGCAGCTCCTGGCGGTTCTCTCGGCCGCTCGACGTCGGGTGGGCTCGATTTTTTTGAGACCCATCAATTGGCTTCCCTTGAAGACCACCAACCTTTCGGCTTTCCTTCAAAAATCAGAAGAAGTGCGAGCCGTTTTCTTGGCTTTCCCCTTGCTTTTCGAGGTTGTCCCTTTCGGCGTTCCTTCAAAACGATTAGATGTTGCTTCTCTTTTGTGTTTCTTCCAACACCAAAACAACATTGGAAACAACACCAGATTACAAGTTGCAATGTTCAGGTGTTTCTGTTGTAAGGATCCCTGCTTGGACCTTATTGATGTTTGCACCCTTGCGTTCCTTTTTTTTGCACGTTAATAGCTTGTTCCTTTTTTCTGTGTCTGTATTTGTGGCTAGAGGGCTCAGAAAATGGGACCTCTGCTTCCCCAAGACTGTTTATGGACAGGCAACATATGTCTGATCTGACCATCGGTAGCTTTGACAGCTCGCTTTTTCATGGGATTTGTCATATATACCATACGTAACGCAACATTTATCTACCCGACTTCTTTGAGATCCGAAAGGATTGTCCATTTTGAACCCTGCAGCAGGTGGTGCTCGTGTGAGTAGAGAAGCATGTGATTACTCACTTGATTGCTATTGGGTTGGATCTTTAGACTTCAACTTTTAGGGATGTCCATAGGGTTCGCCATTGCACCTGCCAACAGTTATTCACTTGTCGCAGAGGGGTCGTTACAGCAACCAAGCGCAGTCGCACCAGACTCATTCACTTTTCATTCGCCCGACCGATCTCTTTACCGCTTAGGCCATCCTGCGTCGCTCAGCTGCAGCAAGCTGGGGTCAGAGGGAGACAACTGCTTGCACGTCGGAGATTCGGAGTAAACCAGCAAAACAATATGCAATATGTGTGCACATGGTTTTTGTTCCTGTAATATATATATATATATACACACATATTTATATATATATATATTAGACATATATATATATATGCGCGTGTTTGCTAGTGGGTGGATCTCAGCGGCATTTGTTCAGGGCCACCTGTTGGTTGGTGCTGTAGATAGCAGGCACTGATTCTGCGAATCGCAGTTTGCGCACGCAAAACTTGCAGGATTTTGGGCAGTTGTTCACTGGCGGAGCAATGACCTGTTGGTTATAGGCGAGTTTCTTCACAGAAGCTTGGACAGGCCTTAGCGGGATTCCCGCGTTTGGCTTATGTGTTGAATTCCAGGAAGCATGGCTTCAAGATGCTCCGCGCATAGTCGCATGGTCATGAATGATTACATTCACTACATGTTGGTGGTTGGAATAACTGCGAAAGATATCCAGGATGTGGCATTGTGTTTTCGCGATGCGGGAGCGGCTTTTTAAGTCGAACCAAACATAGAGGCCCTTCCGTTCCCACTGACTGCAGCGGCAGTGGCAACCAAACAACAAGCAGTGAGCGGCTTGATTGTTTTTGCGGCGATGCATAGTTGTCACAGGCTGTCAACCACAAGTCGCCATCGCTTGCATATTTTTGTGATGCCTTGAAAATACCGTTGTGAAGATCAACCACTAGAGGACTCCGAGACGGATTCGCGACTCGAGGCATCGACCGGGAGCACATGCTCATGTTCTTCGCCTGGGCGCAGACGGGTCACTTCCAGCTGACCGACGCAATCATTCAGCGGGTGCTGGAGAAGGTCTTCCTGAAGGCCCCCATCCCACTCAGTGGCGCCCTTGTGTTCTTTTGTTTAAACTAGCTCGGATTCCTTTAAATGCAACCCAACCAAGAAAGGAGCCCCTTTTTTTCTCTCATGGAAATGCACTGGGCATTTGAGACATTTTTTTTTTTTTGGGGGGGGGGTTGGGGCGTCCGTTCTCGGGGGTCATTCCATCCAGCAAAAAGAGCAGCCTTTTCCCGGTTAATCAATCAGGATTTATTTGTCCGGGGTTCCCAGCGTTTTGGATTACGGAAACAAGAGCAGCTCCAGATAGGGTTTCCGTATGAGACAAACCAAGGTGGACCTTCTGGGTGTTGGGAAAACCCTACCATGCGTCGTTTTTGTTGTTGTTGAGGAAACCCATGGTGTGTGAAACAAGGTCGCAAGGTACACGGCGAAGTGCGTCTCTTCGGAGTGCCCGGGAACAGATCTTGGAAACCCGAAGAGTAGCCCTGGTCCGGAATAATGGGGTGCACCGTCGATCCGGTTGCCTCCCTTTGGCAGGAAGAACACGAGGTCTGCTAATGTCAAAACCGTTAAACGGGATCCCATTTTGGTAGGTGAATTCACCACCCATTTTAGAACCTATTTTAGTGGTTGGATTGAGACGTTCACGGGGAGCTAACCGGGATTTTTGGTTGGTAGGTGAATTCACCACCCATTTTAGAACCTATTTTAGTGGTTGGATTGAGACGTTCACTGGGAGCTAACCGGGATTTTTGGTTGGTAGGTGAATTCACCACCCATTTTAGAACCTATTTTAGTGGTTGGATTGAGACGTTCACTGGGAGCTAACCGGGATTTTTGGTTGGTAGGTGAATTCACCACCCATTTTAGAACCTATTTTAGTGGTTGGATTGAGACGGTCACTGGGAGCTAACCGGGATTTTTGGTTGGTAGGTGAATTCACCACCCATTTTAGAACCTATTTTAGCGGTTGGATTGAGACGTTCACTGGGAGCTACCGGGATTTTTGGTTGGAAGCGGTTGGATTGAGACGTTCCTGGGAGCTAAACGGATTTTTGGTTGGTAGGTGAATTCACCACCATTTTAGAACTATTTTAGTGGTTGGATTGAGGACGTACTGGGAGCTAACCGGGATTTTTGGTTGGTAGGTGAATTCACCACCCATTTTAGAACCTATTTTAGTGGTTGGATTGGGACGTTCACTGGGAGCTAACCGGGATTTTTGGTTGGTAGGTGAATTCACCACCCATTTTAGAACCTATTTTAGCGGTTGGATTGAGACGTTCACTGGGAGCTAACCGGGATTTTTGGTTGGTAGGTGAATTCACCACCCATTTTAGAACCTATTTTAGTGGTTGGATTGAGACGTTCACTGGGAGCTAACCGGGATTTTTGGTTGGTAGGTGAATTCACCACCCATTTTAGAACCTATTTTAGCGGTTGGATTGAGACGTTCACTGGGAGCTAACCGGGATTTTTGGTTGGTAGGTGAATTCACCACCCATTTTAGAACCTATTTTAGTGGTTGGATTGAGACGTTCACTGGGAGCTAACCGGGATTTTTGGTTGGTAGGTGAATTCACCACCCATTTTAGAACCTATTTTAGCGGTTGGATTGAGACGTTCACTGGGAGCTAACCGGGATTTTTGGTTGGTAGGTGAATTCACCACCCATTTTAGAACCTATTTTAGTGGTTGGATTGAGACGTTCACTGGGGGTCCGATTTGGATTTTGACCCATGGCCAAGTCACACGACGGGAAAGGGCTCCTTTGAGCTTGAGGACAATGGCCGTGCTTTCTGGCAATGAGTTCCCGTATTTTCGTGGGCTGGGCATGGGTTCACAAGCGCATTGTGTGTGTGTGTGTGTTTTTCGTGGTTGACCCTGGAAAAGTGTTCAGGCAAGACATCTACAACGAATTGCGCCAATTGCGCAACAATCCCGTCACAATTTGAAGTTGCCCAAACCTGTTTCCTTCAAACATCATGGTTGGCAATTGGCTCATAGCGCGTGCCTTGAAGCCTACAGAGACCTTCCGGCAATCCCTCCCTTCTTTGGAAAACGCATCCTGAAGTCCTTCCAAGTCAGCCGGAGACAGCCCTAAGCTTTGGCATCCGAGTCTCGGTCCACGTGTCAGGCCAAAGGCAAAGAGAAGGAGCCCGTCCTGGCACAGAGCGTGGCCGAGAATGCGTCTTGGATGCGGGGAGGTTGGGAATGGTTACATGGTTGGCTGGATTGCTTGCCTGATTTAACAAAAACACGGAACCCAATGTACAGCGATCCACAAAAGGGAGGTGTCTGTACACATCAGGGTGTGGGTTCCATGGTCTGGGAAGTACATTCATTGTTTAGTTCGCAAGAAACCTCACCGACATATGACATGACTGGAGTCCCATTCGAGTGGTCATCTATCGCGGCCACGCGGTCTCCGGGAAGCCGTGGGGTTTCACACGGGCATGGCTTCCATGCCACCTGCGAATCTTGGGATCAGGTTCCATTGTTTGGTCACCAAGACGGCTTACACCCAGCGCGAGGTTTCTTTTAAAATCACACCCCGGGTTTTAAGTCCTTGGGTTAATTCAAGCATGAAACCCGCTTGGATCGGTGGGCATTGAGGTTACGTACAAACCAGTCTGGCTCACATGAAAGTCACTGACCATCACAAGGATCATGAAACCTTTCAACAACCGTCCTCAATGTGGTGGTTGATCAATAGTCCTGGCCCCCGTTTGGAAATATCATTGTTTGAGTCGTGTTTTTTTGTGGTCATCCCATGTAAAGGACCTTTTGATCACCCCCCATGTGCCTCTAGAACCAGAGCACCGTGGTCTCAGGACTTCTACCGGGTCTGCTTCAGCATGGGGGTGCTGGACACTAATGGCTTTAAGGGCATTCCCCGGGGCGAAATTGCCCTGATCTTTCAGGAGCCGCTCCCGAGGTGGACTTGCCACTAAATCCTGGGAGGGTTTCTCAAAGCATGAGTCGGTTCGGCCTCTTTCTTATTATGGAGCTACTTGCTGGGTAATCTCCTCCCCCTGTTAATAAATACGGCCCCCCCTATTATAAATACATCCACCCAAACATAGATTTTTTTAATTGGGGTTTTTGGGGTTGGGTTTTTTTGCTTTTCCAACAATGTGAGGGTTCACATAGGATTTGGAGGAAATGGATTGAATTGTAAGGTCCGCGAGTAAGCGGTTTAATAAGGACATTTGATGTATCATTCTATTTGTTTACCAGTTTACTGGTTGTTTGTTTGCAGCCAGGCAGGATAATTAGCCAGCATGTACGGGAGAGAGACAGTCGCAGCTAGACAGCTTTTGGGGACATGCTTTCTTTTGAGGGACACCCCAATAACTAAAGGAACCCACCTTTTGAAAAGTGAGGCTGGAAGCTTGCTAAAAGTGCCCCCTAATAAGGATTCCAAGACTTTAGTATTGGTTTAGTATTGGCGCAATGGAAAATCAATTGTGCGGAGTGGAAATCTGGTCTCGGGCCCCGGATTTGCATTTATTATTAATGGGGGTCATTCATTAATAGGGGGAGGAGATTAGTCAAAAAATGGGTAACCGCAACATGAAACCTTGGTAAATGGAAACATGGACGAAAATCAGCGGTCCCTGGTTTGATTCGGACCGATACGCACTTCCTGGACTTTGGCAAGCGGGCGGTTCGAATATGTCTACCTATTTTAAAGCGAGCTGCCCAATTCTTGCGAAAAAACGAGCGAATGCCGTGACAAAGGTCGTTTACTTGGGGATCCGATTGATAGTTCAGCTTTTGGAATTATAGCAAACAATGCAGATATGTTCAAACAAGCGGTTTACTCAACTCTGATCCAGGATCTGCGGAAACTGCATGGACCACGGGGAGCCTCCCAGTGTTACTTTCTGCGCCATACTGACAGGGGCAGGACAATAAATCCACACTGTTTACAAGGCATTGTCGTAGACGAACATTTATTGCTCATGAGACAACGCTTGGACAAACACATATTGGAGCTAATCCAGGGCAATGATAAATATAATGCTTTGCCTGCTTCAACCAAGGAAAGTGAAGCCGTCCAAACTGTGCTCAAGTTTTATTATTTCATTTCTTCTGGTAATGTCATGTTGCAACGCTTTAGCTACATTATATCACGGAAGGATCTTGGGCTTATCTCTTGCGGAATGCGATTTACAGAGGAGGGATCATCTTGCTTGATACTTGCTATACGGTGTTGTAGGACAAAGTATACTTATTTCATCTTGTTTCGGTTTGTGCGTAGTAGTCTATCTCAAAATTTAGAGCTAACGCCTTATCACAAATATAGATATACAGAAATATACAGATATATACAGATATATAAAGAGCGGAGAAAAGGGTGGAACGAAGCCGGGCAGAAGCATGGAGAGAAGAGCAGAGACCAAAGCGGAAAGAGATGACGAAGAGGGCCAATGCCTGCTCGCTCTGCACCTGTTTTCCCCACTCTTGAAGCTGATGCGCTCTGTGTTGCACTCCGCAGTGGTTCCTCTTTTGCGCCTCGTTGCTTGAACTCAAGTAAACGCAGGTGCGGGGCTGTCAGAGTGCTTTGGCCATTCTGCCTTTGTTCTCGTTAGTTTCCATCCCTGTCAACCCGTCCTTTCCCGAACCTCCGCGCGTCAACCCGTCAGCCTAGCTTTCGGTTCCCTTCCCCTGTCAGGTTCCCCTAAATTGTTGGTTTGGATTGGTTCGGGATTTGAACCCCGCCTTAAGCACCAAACCACCACACACCACCAATGACATTGGAGAGTGGCTGCTGGGATTGATGGGAACCCCCCCTGAACCAGCAAAGCACCAACCACCAATTTGGGGGTAGCTGGCATTGGCGACAAAGCCGCAGGACATATGTCGAAGCCTCAACCAGAAGCTCGCGGACCGCGACGCTCTGAAGCGGCCCTTCCGAGTTCGCAAGGACTGAAACCGGCGGGCCCACTGGGGATCTTTTTTTTGGAAGCCCAGTGGCCTAGTGGCGCCCTTTTGTCCTTGTGTGTGGGAAGGGTGTCCCTTTCAACTCGGGTAACGAAAAAGGATGCCCTTTTTGTCTCATGATGGCCACTGGGCACTGGGCATCTGAGGTTGAAGGGATGGCCACTGTTTGTTTTAGATTCTGGATCAAACATGGCAGAGTCATGCACCAACATGCACCTGTTCTGTTTCTGCACGATATGAGTATGGCGAGCTCACTTTAAAATAGTGCATCATCTCTTTTGATTGATATCAAGGCACCATTGTTCAATGATCAGGGCACCCAACGGGCGCCCTGGCGCTTGCCTTGTGAGGTTGATGCCCTTGAAAGTGTCTAGCAGTATTGCATCTTGGGCCCAAAAGGGCATCTTTCAGCCCGGTGCAGGCAGTAGGAAGCGTTGTTTTGATACTGTGACATGGCTGGGGGTCAAAATGAGGTACCCAAAATGGAACCCTGGTAAGTGGAAACATGGACTAGAACCTGCGGTCCCCTGCTTTCTGAATTTTGACCCACACCCATGTGTTGAAAGGGGCTCAATGATGCTCCAGATATAGTTGCCAGCGTCCCCCAGGTTCAGCAACTTGAAGTACGCTGAAGCATGACGCCCCCATACATCTTTTCTTCTGGAAGGTAGATGTTTGAAGCGACTTGGGAAATCCAGCAGGATGCTTCGCGATATTAGAGATGCCATTGGTTACAGCTTCTTATTCAGTTTTCTGAAAGATGGCTTGGCGTAGCGGTATGGCTTGGAATTGGCCAACGTCGAGGAGAAGTAAGACAGTGTGGCACATGCGTTCGAGGCCCGTGAAGCAGTAGCCCAAAGACATATCTGAAGCGCTCCATCAACATGTATTCCTTGTTTGCAACTTTGGAGCCAGCCTTTCAGGACACGCGAATAACATTTAGCTATAAGGAGCACAATTCGTTTCGACATCCGGCATGCCCTTGAACACTCCAAAAACGCTGATGCCTCCTGTTTCATTCACCAACGCCTCAACTCATTTTTGACCATACATCACACAGCAATGTACTTGGGTACGTGTAAAAATGTACTTGGGCGCCCTTTTCAACTTGGATCCCGGTTTCCTTCCTTTCGGCTTTCCCTTACCGTTTCTGCGTTTCTGGGTGAGCCTCAAAAGTTTCGTCAGGACCGCAGCCCCAAGAAAGGCAGCAAGGTCTTCGCCGGGCGCGGGCCTCGGGGTCCGAATCTCGTGGTCTTTTTGTTTCGTGCCGTGCTCGGCCAGCCGTTCCTACTAAGGGGGGGGGGTCCCCACCTTAAATCGATAAGATGAATTCGCTCCGAATTCTGGGATGTTTCTTTTAATCGTCCTCTTTGATGCTCGGCACCCCGTAGCCACTCGGGGTCAGAATTCGCTCGTTTGTTGGCTTACAAGTTGGCCTAGTCTTAGTTGTGTGTTGGCGAAAGACTTTGTTTATGAGGGAGTTTTTATTTGGGGAAGAGATTCGCTGTGCGGTTCCAACTCCAACTCTGAGCGTCTGACTTCTTTGTGTCCTAATGGCACATTGATAATGGCCGCCAAAGGCTGCTGGACTGTTTCCAGCACCTGGTTTGTGTGAGCAAGCGAGACGATGTCAAGTGAGTTTCGAGGAATTTTGTTGCAGGGGATGTGGATGTGTCCTACGACATGCTGCTTTGTTTCCATGGGATATATGGTAGAAGAGGGCAGAAGGTCGATGCAAACTTGAAGATGGATCTTTGATGTCAGCTGCTAGAGCCGGCATTCAGCGAAGGTATACTGGGCCTGAAGTCTTTTCGATTAGGGAAGAGCACAAGGGGTTAAGCCACCAAGCTGTCGCCTCGCAATTTGTTTTTTTAGTAGGAGCTTCCGAGATACGAAAAATTGGTCATGTCAAGCCAGTTGCACATCAAGACGCAAGAAGTGCAAAAAGCAGAGATATAGGGAAGATACTAATTACTTGGGATGCGCAGCATCTCGCACGTTTGCGAGCTCACGCGAGGCACCTTTGTCACGCGCGCCGGGGTCGCCGGGCTCTCGAAAAGTTTCCCACTGGCCTGCGAGCGAAGACGATCGCTGGATGGTTTGCAGGATGAACGCTACTTTTTGGAAGCGCAGCATGATGCTTCGAAAGATGAACCCCCTACGGACTCTATGAATGTCGCAACGCTCTTGCTGTTGCGCCGTGCACATTGATGCTTCGCAAGATGAACACCTGTGCGGACTTTGTGTGCGTGAAGCACTCGCAGCGCCGGCGAAGCACGATCGCCCACCAAGCTGCTCGTGCTCCAGCTCAGGCGAACGCGGACGCGAACGGACATGCAACGCGCTTTTTTGGAGGGCGTCGCCACGTTGATCGCCAAGCCGCGTATTCTATCCAACTGGAAGCGGACGCTGCTCTCGACGGAGCACGGCCCCTCTCGCGACGTCGAGCGTGGTTTTGGTTGGGAGCCCTCGGAAGCGGGGCGTGTTGCGGCGCGGCAGGGCGGAAGGGGTGAACTGCGGGTATCGCCGCTAGGCGCTCTTTTTGGACGTAGATGATCAGATGCCCTCAGCCTCTCTTGGCATGAATCGCTGACCTGC